TGATAATTGTGTAAAATGTTTATTATAAACATCTTTCAAAAGATTGCTTATGTTTTTATAAGTGATCAAAACATTTCAAAAACTCTTTTTAAGTTATGTTACTTTATAGTTTATAAAACTCCGTTTTTAAAGTACAATCATAAGTTAGTAGATAAATGAGTCTTTTTCACTAACAGTTCAAGTAAACACACTAGTAAACTATATTAGGTATAGTTTAGGGGTTCAGTTCATACTAGATACTAGAGCATACAATAAAGAGAAACAGGGAGGTAGATACAATACACGATAACATAGAGAACATACTATAAAGAGAAACAGGGAGGTAGATACAATACACGATAAGATAGACAACTGTGTACTTACATTTTCCCATTACTTTCATATTGTGACGGTTCCACTTGAAAGTTAATGCAAACTATTTTCGCGTTAAGATAGTTATAAACTAGGGAAATCTTACATCTTTTCAAATGACAAACAGAACAATCGAGTCTAGTACATTCAGTAGTAAGGGGCCTATAATGCTAACTTTATGATTCCTTAGTTTATACATCAGGAATATATATTAATCGGATCCGACAGGTAGTTGTCCATTAGAACTCTTGAAACCTTGAACCCTTTTGAATCAAGACCCAAAATGAATCCATCTTGGAGTGTGTACGGCCGTACACACTTGGTGTGGCCGTACACACCTCAAAACACCCCAAAAGGGTCTCCAAAATGAGAACTTAGTGCACATTCTTATTGAGCAATAGACCCTCTAGCTTCCCCATGATTCAAACACCCTCATGTGCATGTTTTACCATGAGTGTATGGCCGTACACTCCATGTCCATACACCCCTGGCCGTACACTTCATGTTGTGGCCTTAAACCCCCTTTAGTGAATCACATGTGATCCTAACACTTAGTCAAAGTGTTTCCTAGTCCCTAAGGGTGTTTCCTTGCATGTTAGTTGCTTTTAAACACTAAATTCAAGCCAATATATGCCATTATATGTCGTTTAGGACTCGTTTGTGTCTTGGGACTTCATTCGTGGAACTTCACATCCTTACACGAATCTGCAATTGAATCACCCACATAAGGTGAGTTCATACCCCTAGAATCAATCTTTTAAGTTGTTTTAAATGCTTTTAAGGGGGGGGGGGGGGGGGGAAATACAAGTTGAACACAATGATAATTGTGTAAATGTTTTGTTATAAACATCATTTTAAAGGATTGCTTATGTTTTCATGAGTGATCAAAACATTTCAAAAACTCTTTTTAAGTTATGTTACTTTATAGTTTATAAAACTCCGTTTTTAAAGTACAATCATAACCTAGTAGATAAATGAGTCTTTTATTCAAATCAGTAACAGTTCAAGTAAACATGCTAGTAAACTATAATAGATATAGCTTAGGGTTTGAGTTTACACTAGAATAGAGAGAACATACTAGACACTAGAACAGAGAGAACATACTAGACACTAGAACAGAGAGAACATACTATAAAGAGAAACAGGGAGGAAGATACAATACACTAGAACATAGAGAACATACTATAAAGAGAAACAGGGAAGAAGATACAATACACTAGAACAGAGAGACATACTATACACTATAACAAAGAGAACATACTATACACTATAATAGAAGAACAAATCATGATTAACAAAATTATACCAATGATCACTAACTCATTGTTCTAAACAAAAGGTGATAATAAAAGTGGTATACAAGATCAAGATAACTTTAATGTGAGACAACTTCACGGCTTAGCAAATCGTTTGCTGAAGTCGCGTTTTGTAACCAGAGTCTCTTGCAGGGAGAGCGTATAGTATGGTTACAACCACATCACATTATGACCTTAATAAAACAAATTGGTTTTAAGGTAGTCAGTACTTCAGTATGTCATTTTAAAAGACAACTGTATACTTACATTTTTCCCATTACTTTCATATTGTGAAATTCTCACTTGAAAGATAATGCAAACGATTTTCGAGTTAAGATAGTTATAAACTAGGGAAAACTTACATCATTACAAGCGACAAACAGAACAGTCGAGTCTAGTACATTCAATAGAAAGGGGCCTATAATGCTAACTTGATGATTCCTTAGTTTATACATCAGGAATATATATTAATCGGATCCGACAGGTAGTAAGATGTGTGCTTTCTGCTTCATTTCCTATTCCTTGTTTGGTTGTGGGCTTAGAGCAGATTCACCCAGCCTACTATATATCCGATCTTAGCCATATATATATATTCCGTATACCCCAAGTAATCATAAGGAGTACCAGGTATGGGCCAGGTCATAGTATACTAATTCAATACACCGTTTTCTAGTACAAAACATACTTTTCAAATAGAACATTTGGTATACAGAACTAGAAACTTACCAGTAAAAGGTTTAACTCATTTTATTAAACCAGTATAACTTAAAGGACCTTTGGTGGTTAATTCTATAATACCTTAGTTTATACATCAGAGTTATATATAATTAATATCCGATAGGTAGTTGGATGTGTGCTTTCCGCCTCATTTCCTGTTCCTTGTTTGGTTGTGGGCTTAGGGCAGATTCACACAATTAACTATCTGTTCGATATTAGATTATATATAGCTAGTATAAACTAAGTGATTATAGAAGGAACTATTATGGTTACCATTTTTACTACAAGAAATAAGGGTTTTCTTAAAGAATATTTTCATCAAATATAAAGGAACTATTATAGTTAACTCCATGAGTACCAAGTGAATACGCCAGGGTTATATACGACGATGATCTAATAAACAATGGGATGTGTGCCTTCCGCCTCATTCCTTGTTCCTTGTTTGGTTGTGGGCTTAGGGCAGATACACACAATCGATTGTTTGTTTACTCTGGGTTTTATATAACTTGTATCCATTTAGTACTCATAGAAAGGATTGTAGAGTCATTTTTACTTATCTTTCATCAAAGCAGGAAATATAGGATTTTCTGGAGGAACATGCGAACTTTTCTAAAAGAACTTACAACTTACTTACATCACTAAAATCTTATGAACTCACCAGCTTATCTACTTTTTCAAAATAACTTGTATTCTCAGGAGACCAGTAGACATGTACGCGCACTGGGATTCAGAAGATGGAGCATAATAGCTTCATGTCTTGTTTTGTTATTTAATTTGTAGTCTATGTTATGTGAACCACATACTTTGTAAACACTTTCTTTCTAATGAAATGGTTGTTTGTTACTTTGATTGCTATGATGCATGTCTTGTGATACTAAACATGTCGTCCTCCGCCCCCGAACGTTTCCGTCGTTCCGGTTTTGGGGTGTGACAATAATCATGATTAAAGAGTTGTCAACCTATACCCCGAACACATACGAATGTACTGTATTCCAAATCAGGACAGTAAAAGGCATGGAACACAAAGATTTTCCAATCACTCGGCTTAAATACATAGAACCATAGTATAAGGAATCTCCTAGTAACTTTTACTGACAAGGCAGGTGCATCTCAATCTATAGGACGTGCTCACTGAAGCACTAAACTCGTGTATGCACTCATTTCACAAGATGTATGAACTCACTTGTATCAAATAATTTACACTCGTTATTTAAGGTGGAGGGCACTCAGGCGTCAGTAAGGTATATCCCATTCTTCTTAGTCTTCTCTTCATGCTATTCAACAGCTTGTGGTTGCACAATCTTCACATATTCTTCCAAAACCTGTGTCAACTCTCGGCAATCCATAACATGAGATAAATCCATGACCATAAGTCCATAACAAGAGCGCAAAAGAAATATATACAACAAAAAATATACAAAACAAGCATAATAGAACCGTATAACATGATTGTTGGCCTCAAAATAAACTTTCAATGCTAAACAAGCCAACAAAATCAAACACAAACCAATTTACTGTGAAAATATCATCATGATAAATATGGAAATGTTTGGTTCGGTTCTCTCTTCTTCTTTTTTTTACTAGAAAGCAGCATGAATATGTACAAAGACTCGACTTAACTATTACAAAAGAAATGAAAAACAAACATAAACTAAAACCTTTGTTTTTTTTATATGAAACTTGAACACAAAATTTGATAAATTGACTTTTGAAGAACCCTTTTATAAATGAAAAACATTTGTAGAGGTTTGACTTTGAAATCCGCCATTTTGATGACTTCGCGGTTTTTTACTTTGAGAAACAAATTGGTTTAAAATAACAATAAACTTCTAATATTTACAACTAGAAAACTAAAATGAAAATAATAAACAACTTTAACAACTATCTTTTGGAAAAATCGATTTGACCTTAAAATGCATAAAGTCAAATGTTGAAAAAGCTGCATAAATCCTATTTATTTTTTTTTCATTTTTTTTGAACCAATCTTTTTGAACCAAGCGAAGATCATATATAATTCAAAAAAAAAGTCAGTTAATCTAAACTAAATACTATAAAACAAAGCAATAATAAGCATATATACAAATGAATAACAACATAAAACTAAAAATGAAACTTGAAAACCAAACGAACTTCTGCGCCACCTTATGCCTTACTGATTCACACAATGACGTACTCACGAGTATTTTAAAAACGCCCTATATTTGATTATCACCTGCTGTTACCGAATTACATAAGAGGAGCTGCTTGTCATAAAAACATCTCAATGCACCGCTACTAAGTGAATTAGCAAATAAGTGTGTTCTCAATAGTTCTAAAGTTTCACAATTTAGTGACACCACATGTATACGAGGTATAAGCAGATAGAACTTTGAACTTGACCGTGTATTGTGACAAAAAGTTAAAGGCATTCTAGAGACGAGAAAAATGCGTGAAATGACCCTAAAAACCTAAATTAAAAGGAAAATCTTTTGTATTTTTATGTTTTGTAAATTTTTTTTAGAATGCAATGAATGAATATGCAACTTTTTTATATAATTATTTTATATGTGCAATGCAATATAATAATATAATACACCCCTCCCCAAGCTTAAAAATATGCATCGTCCTCGATGCTTGGGAAGAGAGTGGGACAAATTACTAAGGAGGATATTCAGGTGGAAATGGCGGAGGATATTGATGTGGAAGTTGTGGATTGTACGGTGGAGGGTAATGTGGATATTGAGGGTAATAAGGTGGTCGTGTGGGTTGACCACCTAAACAAAGTACCCTATGCATGTCAGTCACAAGGGAATCCACATGTTGGCTGCGTGCTTGTTGATTGTCTCTAAAGGTATAGAACTCGTCTCTAAACTCCACCATATTAGTATTTATATCATAAACACTGTCATAAAGTTCAGAATAATCACGATCCAAACGCCTATTGTATTCATGCAACCTACGAAATTCTTGCATATACATGTCATGATAGGGATGCGTGACAGGCTCTTGCTGCTCTGGCGTTGCAGCATCAGGTATGGTTGCATCAGGAATGGGTTCATCCTCATCAGAATCAGAATCAGGCTTGGGCATCGGGACACCTAAATTGGAACTAAGGCGCCAAACAGTGTTGTGTACGAGATTGGACAATCTAAGAAGTTGAGCATTTTGATGATCAATACTGAGGTAATCACGACTATCAACAGCCCAATAAACGGTGTGTGTTTCATAATCTAGATGGAACAAATGCATATTTTGCAAGATGTTTGTTGTGAGGCGAGTTTCTTCTTCAATGACATCGAGACTGGGTGGAAAACGAATGGCAAGAGCTGGGTGTTTGAGGATAATTGTGATCATACCCCCACAAAGTAATTTACCACTAGTGTTGCGGGATATTTTCAACAATTTGAAGATGATCCATAAATCCAAAATCGGGAAGTTGGGTTGGGTTGTGGATTATACACCACATAAGCTCTAATTATTTTTGGCCAACCTTGCTTATCTCATTTTGTGGAAATACAACAGAGGCAAGGATGCGATGAGTGGCCTTAAGAACAGGATAAATGATACTTGATGCTTTGGCAGCGCTTGGAAAATAGTTCAATCCTGAAATTCTCCCCCAAAAAAGCTTTAGAATCCTCTTGAAATGGAAAATTAAATATGTGAAATGGGCTATAAGTGTTAGCAATCAGAGCACCAATGAGTTCACATAATTGATTTTTGTGCAACTGATAATTACGGCTGAAAGCATGGAAGGAGAGATATTCAGTTCGATGGTTGAAGAAAACAGATGACAAAAATTCAAGGTAGGTTGGACATAACCAACATCATGCAATGACAACAACCCTTCCCACCCAATATTTCTAAACAAAACACGGACTTGGTAATGTATATGGAGGGACTCGAGAGTGGGCATGTCCGCGAATTTCTGTGTTGCGCATCTACTGTAGCATCCATAAAAATCATGCCAATTTAAATCTTTTTAAAACATTCAAAAACCAATAATTATTACAAATTGTTTTCAAAATAGTTTCATGTCAGAGTATCCCATAAATCAAATCATAAAAACATAAGGAGGTGTACGATCATGCCTTCGCCTTCCCGCGATCATACAAAGTACTTGAAACAAAATCAACAACTGTAAGCCCGAAGCTTAGTGAGTTCCCCCAAAATACCAACGTCATACAAACCATAACAATATCATACAAACAGCATGCGTAATGAGCCATCAGCCTGACTGGACTGCCTCGTGGGGCCATCAGCCTGACTGGACTGCCTCGTGGGGCCATCAGCCTATCTGGACCGCTCTCCGAGCCTTCGGCACGTCTGGACCGCCTCGTGGGCCTATAGCCTATCCGGATCGCTCGTCGGGCCTTCGGCCTGACTGGTACGCCCTTACCGGGTCTGCAGTCTATCCGAGTCGCCCTGGGTATGTTGGCATATTGCACAAAGCAAGACTACCTCAACCCAACCCCCAATCAAACAATCATGTGCACATAAATATCATACGCTAGCGAGCATGTACAGATAGTCATACAGATCTAACAGATCACTAATCATAACATCATCCTATATACCAGGATACCGATCTAATAGATCACTAACATAACATCATGCTATAACAAGGATATAGATCTAACAGATCACTAACATAGCATCATCCTAAAACTAGGATACAGATCTAACAGATCACTAACATAGCATAATCCTATAACCATGATACAATCCATAAAGGGTCGGCCTTGGTGCCTTAGACCCTGTTGATATATTGAGAAGAACTCACCTCACAATGTCGATCGAAATTGAAGTATTAAACTCCCGAAACACGGCTCCAAACACCAACACCTACAGCCACCATTTATCCAATTCCATAAATTCCCAAATTACCAAAATACCCCCAAAAGTCAAACTTGGTCAACCCTTGGTCAAAGTCAAAGTCAACGGTCAAGGTCAACAGTCCATGTTAACCCAACTCGTCGAGTGTAGCTTACTGACTCGTCGAGTTCCTTCAGAACTCAAGAAATCGCGAAAACCCCAGTCGACTCGCCGAGTTTCCAGACAACTTGTCGAGTCCATGCAGTATCCAGAATGTCGGGAAAACCCTAACCAACTCGTCGAGTCATCTTGCTAACTCGTCGAGTTCATGCAGAATCCAGAAACGGGAAACCTTCATCCTACTCGTCGAGTTGACCATGCAACTCGTCGAGTTCCTTCAACCCCTTCTCTCATTCATACGCTTTTAAGTGAAAACAAGGCTCCAAACTATAGATCTAGGCTCCTAGGGTGTAGTTATCACGTAAAGTTGCTAACTTTACGTACATGCAAGGCTTCAAGAAGCTAAAACACTCAAAACTAGCCTTAGGAAGAGGTTTTGGACATGGAGGAGGGCCAAAGCTTCATAAGCTTGAGGCTTTATGTCTAAAAGGGCCTAAAGGAGTCTAGATTTGAAACCATGCCCTTGTGACAAGCTCAATTCCGAAAGTGACTCCATTTTGCACCAAAATGCCCATATGCTAACATAAGAAGAGATCTAAGAAATGGAAGGCCAAGGTAAATACTTTTTATCTTCAACTGGATGCCAACACGATGTAGATACTGGATCCACAAGCTTCTTCTCGTTCCAAGCCTCTAAATCTTCAAGCCTCTTCAAGGAATGCACCAAACACACACTTTTAGCCTCACACACACTCAAGAATAGGGTTAGATCGATTAGGCTTCGCTTCTGGTCATCAAAAGTGGCAAGGGTGGCTAGGGGAAAGGACTTAAGGTCCTTTAAATAGGGTGCAAACCCTAAAAATTAGGGTTTCCATGCACAACCTCTACTCGTCGATTTGGGGTCCTCCAACTCGTCGAGTAGATTCTAAAATCCACGCGGGCTGACCAGGTTCTACACGACGAGTTGGGGCCTCCAACTCGTCGAGTTTCCGTAATAATATGAATATAAAAAGCTTTTAAATTGTACCTGGGAGTCGGGATGTTACGACTACGACCAAGAAAATTATGATACCTAGCTTCTTGTTGAGAGTCTAAGAATGCCAATTCACCCGAATTTTGGCGTGGAGGATATGGGCCATGTTGACTAACACTAGAGTCAACAACTCTAGAATACTTGGAATTACCCCTTTTACCACCCCCACGAGATGATGAAGCCATGAGAGAAAAAAAATTTAAGCACACAAATTTGACTCTTAAGCACAATGTACAACCAATTCAAAGAACTAACACACAACTGACACTCAATTTGATAGTTTAGGCACAAAGATTGAAGCTTTTATAACTAATAATGCAAAGTTAAGGATATGGAAAGAGAATACCCGATTTGGAGCTTGAAACACGAAATTGTTGCTTGAAATTACTTGTAATCTCTTCCGTAATGCTTCCCCAAGCTTATTCTACAAGCATTTTGAAGAAATTAAAACAAAATTTTTGGACCCCATTTTCTAGGGTTCTTCCAAAAATCCAAAAATCACCATTAAAATGGTGTTTTGAAGTTGCTTGAGTGTAAGGAAGAAGAAAGGGGGTTAAAAAAGCATACCTTGATTGTTTAATTCCATGCAAAAATCAAAGATTGGAGTGTTGTGTGAGTGTTCGTACGTGTTCGATGAGGGAGAATAGGAGTGAATGAGAGTCGCGACTAGATGAAGAAAGAAAGAAATAAGCTAGGATTTTTTTTTAAAACTCGCTTTTTTTATGTGCAGACCTCGTTACACGGCCCGTGTAATGGAAAGGTTATTCAAGGTTATTGTTACACAACCGTGTAATGCCACATTCCTGATATCATTTCCCATTACACGACTGTGTTTAGCAAAGGCATGCATTACACGACCCTTGTAATGTTCTGAGAAACGCACGTAAATTTTTCTTATTTTCGCACCCGCTCACTTCCAATCTTCATAAAAATTATTTTTAGACTCCCTTAATTATTATAAGAACCTTGGAACACAAAAACTTGAAAGAAAATGTCCATACGAAAATTTTACAAAAATGACCAAAATACCCAGAGTTGCCTCTCGGGTAGCTACCCTTGTTTAAAGTCGGTGGCTCGGAATGGACCCCAATTATTTGTCAATCTTGGTACTTTGGATCCGCTACTTCCTCCACTTCCTCGATTTTTACTTCAAATCATTCATAATAAGGTTTTAAACGATGACCCTTTATCTTAAAGATCTTCCCGATTTTCTCACTTATGATTTCTATTTCACTATGCTCAAAAACATTAGTGACAACAAATGGTCCCACCTAACGGGACCTTAATTTACCAGGAATTAATTTGAAACGAGAGCGGTAAAGTAATACCTTTTGACCTTTTTCAAATACCTTGCGAGAAATCATCTTGTCATGGTATGCTTTCGTCTTTCTTTGTAAATAACTTCATTCTCATATGCTTCATTGCGGATTTCCTCAAGCTCTTGTATGTCAAGCTTCCTCTTCTTTTCCGATTCATTTAAATCCATATTTAATTGCTTGACTGCCCAATAGGCTCTATTCTCCAACTCAACGGGTAATCGACATGGCTTTCCAAAAACAATTATGTATGGAAACATTCCAATTGGAGTTTGAATGCAATGCAGTATGCCCACAAAGCATCATCAAGATGAGTACTCCAATCTTTCCGTGTTGTATTGACAGTTTTCTCTAAAATATCATTGATTTGTCGATTGCTCACTTCGACGTGTCCGTTTGTTTATGGATGGTATGCTGTGGAGACTTTATGAGTAACACCATACTTCTTCAAGACACTTCCAAGCATACGATTGCAAAAATGTGAACCACCATCACTGATTAAGGCCTTTGGAACACCAAATCTAGAAAAGATGTTAGCTTTTAAGAAATCTATCACAACTTTTGAATCGTTAGTACGGGTGGCTTTTGCTTCCACCCACTTAGAAACATAATCCACAACCAAAAGTATGTAAGTAAAATCCGAATATGATGGGAAAGGTCCCATAAAATCAATGCCCCAAACATCGAAAATTTCACAAACTAAAATGGGATTAAGGGGAATTTGATTATTTGAGCCTAAAGAACCCATCTTTTGACATTTATCACAACTTGCACAAAAAACATAAGAGTCATGGAAAATACTTGGCCAGTAAAATCCACTCTTTAATACTTTTCTTGCAGTTCTTTGAGGACCAAAATGCCTTCCACAAGCATAAGAGTGACAAAATGTGAAGATAGAAGATACCTCATGTTGTTCCACACATCGCCTAATCATTTGATCAACACAATATTTCCACAAATATGGCTCATCCTATACGTACCTCTTGGCTTCTTTCTTGATTTTGTTTTTTTGCCATCGAGTGAAGTCTGGTGGAAATTGATTTGTGACGATTTAGTTCACAATATCGGCATAC